TTAGCTTAGCTTGTTCTAAGTAGGTGCTTTAGACCACTGGGCCATCTCACCAGCCCCATTAATGTATTTTGTTCAGTGGTCCTATTTCATTCAATTGACCTAATATTTATTTATTTATTTTTGGTTTCTTGAGACAGGGTCTCATGTAGTTTAGGCTGGCCTTGAACTTATTGTGTACTTCAGTAGTAGCGGGGGCACTTAGCATGCATAAGGCCCTGCATTGCATCCCCAGCACTATAACAGTAAATAAATCTTCAATTTCCAACCCCAATAAAAAGTTCTTCCTTACTTGCTAAGCTTGGCCCAGATCAAGGGACCCACCCTGGGGGGAGAAATGCTCTGTTCCACCTCCTGCTCCTCTGGAGCTTCCTCCTCTGCAGAGGGTAGGGTGGGTGCACTATATCTGTAGCCCCCAGATAGAGCTCCCTGGGGTGGTAATGTCAAGCGGCCTGTGCATGGAGGTTCCTTCCTTGGAACCCTTGCAGCCCACAGGCCAGTTCCTGCTAGTGTGGCTCTCTCTTCCGGCCCCTTTCCCTGGGTCAGGGAGGCCCAGGAGGCAGGTGAACAGTGAGCCCTTTCCTTGGGAGGCTGCTCCCACTGTCTTTGGTGGGTGGCATCCTACCTGAGCAGAGGACCAGACCCTGGCTCAAAATACAAATAGGCAACTAAGGCAATGGGGTCCTGTCCTGAAGGAAAAGGCTTGGCTTCTCTTCTCACAGACTTCCTCTCCTGGACCACTTGCTCACCACCAGGGGGCGTTATCTACCCCCATTCCTCACATGGATGGGTGTGGCACCCTTTTGTGGCCTTGGAGAACTAGATTGGCTTTTAGAGGGATGGGAAGGTGGTGTTGAGCCCCAGGCCAGCATCAAGGTGAACAAACCCTCTACTGCTGCGCTGCAGCCTGGTGTGGGAGTGTTTCCTGGGGAGCACAGGGAGCTCCTTGTTACAAGGAGGAGGATGGGAAGGGTGGAGGAGAGATGGGGTCTCCATGGGCTTGGGCCATCTTCCCCCACCCTGTCCTGGGGAAGGCCAGGCCGGTGAGCGCAATGGGTCTCCTACCTTCTCATTCCCACCTTCTAGGTAGAGTCTCTCCTACTGTCCCTGCTGGGCTGCCCCTTCAGTCCACGCATTCGCTATTTATAGCAAAGCCAGTGGCTTGCATCCCTCCCATTTGTGGATGGGAAAGCTAAGTTCAGGGCTGGGGAGACAGCTGAGCGACATGGGCACCTGCCTGGCAAGTGCAAGGTCCAGAGCTTGATAATTCAGTACAGAAAGCAAGCAAGCAAGCATACTGGACTTGTGTGTGCAGTGCTGTGAGTCTCAGTTACACAAAACCACCTAATTTAGCCTGCTTTCTTTCAGTACTGGAGAACTGAATGCAGGGACTTCATAGTGAGCTACTTTCGGAGCTCATCACCACCACCTTAGGGTTTCCCTAAATTGCCTAGTCTGGGCGTCAACTTGTGTGTGTGAGTGTGTGTGTGTGTGTGTGTGTGTGTGTGTGTGTGTGTGTGTCAGAATCCGGGATTGAACTCAGGCCCTTGCACTTGCCAGGCAAGTGCTTATTCTACTGAACTATCTCCCTGGCCCTTGGGCTCCAACTTTTGACCCTTCTGCCTGACCCTCTTGAATGCCGAGGTCACAGACGTGCTGCGCTGCTACGCCTGGCTGCATCCTTCGGTTTAGCGAGTTCTAGGCCTTTCCCTGGTTCAGCTGGCCTGACCGCTGGGGACCCAGGAAAGGAGCTGGTCCTTCCCCGGCTCTAAGGGGTTAAGCCTGGGCCCGCCCCTAGCCGCCCGGGCGGCGGGAGTATGAATAGCCTCGCTCGGACCGGGCTCAGAAGCTCGGCCGCTCCGCCCAGTCATTGTCCCCTCAGGTCTCTTCTCTGCGGCAGAGTTCTAAGCGCCTCTGCTTTCGCCCGGTGCGCGGCTTCCATCCGCCCTTGGTGATCCGACCAGCAGCATGGACGGCTGCGTGGGGGAGGAGTCCTTCCAGCTGTGGGAGCTCAACCGGCGTCTGGAGGCCTACCTGACCCGAGTGAAGGCTCTGGAGGAGCAGAACGCGCAGCTCAGCGCGGAGCTCGGGGGCCTCCGGGCACAGTCCCGCGACGCCTCTTGGCGGGCGGGAGCCGACGGTGAACTGGCTGCTCTGCGCGCCCTCGTGGATCAGCGCTGGCGGGAGAAGCATGCGGCCGAGGTGCAGCGCGACAGTCTGGCGGACGAGCTGGAGGGTGTGGCGGGCCGGTACCAGCAGCTACGGACCGCCCGGGAACGCTCGGTCGAGGAGGCTGCACGCAGCCGGCGCGCGGTGGAGGCCGAGCAACGCGCCCAGGACTGGCTGAGCGCGCAGGCGGCGGAACTGGAGCGCGAGCTGGAGGCGCTGCGCGCGGCGCACGAGGAAGAGCGCGCCGGTCTGCATGCACAGGTGGCCTGCGCCCCCCGCCGCCCCGCGTTCCCGCGCGGGCCCCCAGCGCCAGCCCCCGAGGTGGAGGAGCTGGCCCAGCGGCTGGGCGAGGCGTGGCGCGGGGCTGTGCGTGGCTACCAGGAGCGCGTGGCGCACCTGGAGACGTCGCTGGGCCAGGCCCGCGAGCGGCTGGGGCGTGCGATGCAGGGCGCCAGAGAAGGTCGCCTGGAGCTGCAGCAGCTCCGTGCCGAGCGCGGCGGCCTCCAGCAGCACAGGGCTGCGTTGGAGCAGAGGCTGGAGGGCCGCTGGCAAGAGCGGCTACGGGCCACCGAAAAGTTTCAGGTGAGGACTTGTCAGACTTGGGTGCAATAGAGCACCAGGAGGCTTTCTGGGAAAGGACTTTCAGCTCATGAGCCACTGCCCAGAACTTACCACCTGGACGGGGAGATAGCTCAGTGGAATAAGTGCTTCCTTGGCAAGCGCAAGGACCTGAGTTCAATCTCCGGTTCCACAAAAAAAAAGAAAGAAAGAAAAGAAAAGAAAGAACTACCACCTAAGCCCTGGACTTTCACACTTGGTCCAGGGCAGGTGGGCAGGATGGGGGCACAGCCCTGTATGTGCAGCCTCTGATGCTCTTGCACCTGCCTGTCCTGTGAAGGTCCTGGCCCTCCCTAGGCTTTCTGTCACTCAGAACTGCCCAGCGCATGGTCCTTCATCTCTTGGCTACTCCAAGTCCCTACCAGCTGGCTGGGGGAGCCAGGGATCTAGATGAATGGCCTCCAGCCCCTATCCCAGGTCATGGCTTCCCACTCTTTGGGGCATATTTCAGAGGCCCGGGACAGCTGTTCCACTTCACACTGCGCAGATGTGACCCAACAGCTGAGAAAATAGCTTCCTGACAGGGCCAGACAGAGGTCTTGCTGAGGCTCCTCCTCACTCTTCTCCTTAGAGAAAGATTCCAGAACTTGGGGGGGGGGGCTAAAAGGGGGGTGTGAGGAGACAAGGAAGGGACAGGGCTGTTTGGCTTCCTGGCTCTTGATTAATCGTTTTTCCTTCTGCGTCTACTTTCTCCTCCTTTCTGTAACCCATCTCCCTTCCTCCCTTGTCTCCCCCTTCCTGTGGGAGCTGAATTCTCAGCAGCATGTGTGACTGTTTAATCAGCATCCCCAGGAGCAGCCAGACAGCGTGGGAGAGGGCTGGGGGGCCCCTGTTCTCATCTGGGGGCCCTGCAGAGGCTCCCTGGGCAGGGAGGAGTCCAGGAAGAGGGGCCTAGCTTGTCCTACGGACAAGTCAGTAAGAAACAGGAGGTACTGCCTGGCCCCAAGGGTTCCCCCCTCCCCCCAGGACTCCACTGACCATTTGGCTTGCTCTGCAGCTGGCCGTGGAGGCCCTGGAGCAGGAGAAGCAGGGACTGCAGAGCCAGATCGCCCAAGTCCTGGAAGGCCGGCAGCAGCTGGCACACCTCAAGATGTCCCTCAGCCTGGAGGTGGCCACGTACAGGTATGGCATGAAGCCAGCCTAGCCGTCAAACACGTGTACACACACACACACACACACACACACACACACACACACACACACAGGTGTAGAGGCTCTGAGGCTGAAGGGGCCCAGAGGCACAGGTGCTCACAGCTCTGCCACCACTAGGTTTTGTGACTCTGAGCTGGTCACTTCTACGCAAGAACACATATAATCTGTCCCCACCTGTTTCCCCTTGGCTTCATGATCAGAGAAGGTTTTCCTTTCCAGGAAGCCCTGCAAGGGGCGGTGACAACATGGAGTGGAGCAGTCTCAGGAGAGGGCTACACACATATCACACATAGTGTCTGTACCTTCCCCCAAGGCACTGAGAACTTGCAGCCTGTGTGTGCACACACCCGGGGGTGATGACCATGGGTGACTTGCCACCTGGCCTGGCCACAGCACTGTCTGGAAGAAGAGCTGGATTTTATGACTTGTACAGCCCTTCCTCGCCTGACATCTTGAGCCCAGACTCCTTTCCAGATTTAATGGCTTTTTCGCTCTGCCAGCTCATTGACTGCCTTTCCCGCTGTTTCTCACTGGCCATGTGGCCTCAGCAAAGTCCTCTCTCTTCTTGGACACTGGTCCGATGGGCTGAGTATCCAGCAACAGAGCCCAAAGAAGGGGCTCTTCAACTTCAAGGGCCCAGTACGCCAAGCCGCAGACAGGGCTGCAGCAGGACCTGCTGTTAGGTCCTCCCTAACACTCCAGTGGAAAAGGTGGAAGAGGTACAGAAACAAGGGGCTGTGCCTTGTTGGGTCTCCCAGACAGGGTGATAACCCAGCCAAACCACAGAGGGAGGAGAGGAGGCACTGGACAGGTCTTGAGGAATGTCATCACTGCGTTGTGTGGCATGAAAAGGATTTGGAGAGGGGGCTGAATTCATTTGCTTTTGTCTGTCACCAGCTCTGGGGGGAAGTGGAGGGAGCCTATCCCATGGGAACAGCCTGAGAAATTCCCACTTCCCTGAGAAGCCCCCCTTCTCAGACCCTCCAGATGGCTGTGCGGACAAAGGCAGTGATTAGCATGAGAATCGACCCCCCACCCGAGGATGAGGTCATTGGCCTGGGTGGGGGAGGAGAGCAGCCTGAGTCTGTGGGCGTTGGAGGGCAATGCATCTGACTGCGTGGGAAATGCGGTGTGTCTGTGAGGTTCCACATGTGCGTGTGACTTTGTGTGATGTCTGTGGCTATGTGACTGTGATTTCAGCTCGGATGTGGCTTTGTGTGATCGGTAGAAGTGCAGAGGGAGCCTCGAGGGGTAAGATGTGTGGTGAGGCACTGAGCTCGCCCCTGCTGGCCCTGGGCAGAGGGCTGACCCAGCTGTCCTCTCTCCTCCCCAGGACCCTTCTAGAGGCTGAGAACTCCCGTCTGCAGACACCTGGTGGCAGTTCCAAGGCTTTTCTCAGCTTCCAGGGTAAGAGGAAGGGCCAAGTGCCCCTGAAACTCTACTCTTCTTTGCTCTACCAGCAGACCTTTCCTGAGAAGCACCAATCTAAGCCTTAAAGCCTTGGTCCTCAACAGTGCTGAGCACACTCTCAGCCTGGGCTGTGGGGACCCAGGCCAGCACCTCTGGACACGTGCCAGAAGTGAGTGCTGCCCGGCCCCCCACCCCAAGCAAATGTAGGAAGCACCACTAACATTGTTTCTTCTTCTCTGCCTTTCCAGACCCCAAGCTGGAGCTGCATTTCCCTGGGACCCCAGAGGGCCAGCATCTGAGACCTGTCCTCAGCCCAACTTCCCTCCCCTCCCCCTTGCCTAACACCCTCCAGACACCTGTGCCCATGTTTCTGAAGAGCCAGGGACTCCTCCAAGCCCATACCCCCACCTTAGCCAGCACCCCTATCCCACCCACTCCTCAGGCTCCCTGCCCTGCTGCAAATGCAGAGGTCAGAGCCCAGGATGGCCCTTGCTCCCTGCTCCCACAACAGGGCGGGAGACAACAGACTCCAGAACCACTGTGGGCTGAAGCCCAGGCAGCAGCAGTCAGTACCAGCATCCTCCCAGGACCAGAGGAGCCTGGCGGCAAGCAGCAGGAGGCCAGTCCAGGTCAGTTCCTTGAGGACCAGGCCCCCTTGGCCCCACCCCTCAGCCCTGACCAGCCCAGTTTAGAGGCAAAAGATGGAGATCCCAGTGGGCCTGGAGCACCTAGCACATTGCAGGAGGAAGGAAAAGGGCAAATGTGGGGACTGGTAGAGAAAGAAACAGCCATAGAGGTCCAAGTAGTGAGCAACTTGCAGCAGCAAACATGGCAAGGAGAGGACCTGGATGTGAAGAAAGTCCAGGACTCCCAGGATCCTGTAGAAGAAACCCAGAAGCCTCTAGGAGAGGAGATTCAGCAGCCACTGATGCCCCTGGAGAACCAGAGTCATGAGACCCGAGAGAAAGAAGATCGGGAATCTCTGAAGTCTTTAGAGGAAGAGAACCGAGAAACACTAAAAAGTCTAGAAGAAGAAAATCAAGAAGGATTGAAGTCTTTAGAAGACAATGACATAGAAGCGGAGAAACCTCTAGAAAAGGAAGTCATTGAACTACCCAAGTCTGTAGGAAAAGAGGACTCACAGATATTGCAATCCTTGGAAAGGGAGAACCAAGAACTAATGACATCTCTTGAAGGCAAACTCGAGACTGTTTTATTTCCAGGCAAGGGAAATAAAGAATTAGTGAGATCTGTAGAAGAGGAGAACTTGGAAGAGTCATTGAGAACTCTTAAAAAGGAGACCCAAAAGCCACTGAAATCTCAAGAAGCAGAGGACCAGGAGATATGGAAATCTCTACCAACAGAGAATTGGGAGTCCCTGAAGTCTTTTGAAGATGAGACCCAGGAGACCCTTAAAGATAATCAGGAGCCACTGACCTCTTTAGAAGAGAATGAAGTGACTGTGAGATCTTTAGAAAAAGAGAAGCAGGAGTTACTGAAGTCTGCTGAGGAAGAGGATGAGACATTTGTGAAAACTCTAGAAAAAAAGGATCAGGAATCTCTAAGGTCTTTAGAAGCGGTAGACCAAAGGGGTGTGAGAGTTCTAGAACAACAGAACCAGGAGACTCTGAGGTCTCTAGAAGAGGAAGAGGAGAAGACTATGGGACCTCTAGAAAGAGAGACCCAGGAGCCCCTGAGATCTCTAGAAGAGGAAGAGGCACAGACTGTGAGAACTCCAGAAAAAGAGAATCAGGAATCACTGGGGTCTCTAGGAGATCAGGAGACCATGAGACCTCTAGAAGAAGAGAATCTGGAGCCATTAGGGTCTCTGGAAGAAAAGGATCAAAAGACTAAGAGACTTCTAGAAAAAGAGGATCAAGAGCAACTGAGATCTCTAGAGGAAAACCAAGAGACACTGAAAATTCTTGAAAAAGAGACTCAACAATCACTGAGGGCTCTCAGGGGAGAAGGTCAGATGACATTGAGACTGTCAGAAAAGGTGAATCTAGAGCCACTGGAATCTCTTAGAAATGAACAAGACATAGTTGGGTCTCTTGAAAAAGAGCATCAGGAGTTATTGAAGTCCCTGAAAGGTGACAGTACAGAGGCAGTGAGACCTTCAGACACACAGAACCTAGAGCCACTAATATCTGCAGAAGAGGACCTGGAAATGCTAAAATCTCTAGAAGTTCAAGAGTCACTATGGCCTCTAGAAGAAAGGAATAGGGAGACAGTGAAACCATTAGAAAAGGAAATTCAGGAAACACTGGAGTCTGTGGAAGAGAACCAAGGGGTTCCAAGTCTCCAAGAAAAGGAGAATCAAGAAACACTGAAATCTTCTGGTGAGTGGAACCTAGAAAACTTGAGATCTCCAGAGGAGGCAGGGAAGGAAGATCACACAGATCTGGAAAAGGGAGGGAGCCTGTTGAAGGAAGAGAATCAAGAGTTACTGAGGTCTCCAGAAGAAGATGCACAGGAGCTGCCTCTGTCTGAAAATCAGCAGAGGTGTGAAGATGTGGCCATGGGAGACCAAGGTCTGGGTCAGGAAGCCCCACCTAGGAGGGAGGAGGTGGGGGATAAGGGTGAGGCAGAGCCAGGTGTGAGGGAGCAGGGTGGGAATTCAGCAGCAGAGGCCTGGGGCACAGGGAGCCCTGAGCCCAAAGAGCAGAGGGCCCCAGCTGAGGGAGCCAGCGGGCAGGGTGGCACTGAGGACCCCCAGGACCTTGAAGGGCCAGCAGAACAGGTGGGGGCCCCAGGCCTCAGAGCTTCCCAGGGAATGACAGATGTGATGGAGCCCCAGCAGGAAGATGAGGATGAGGGCCTAGGCGGAGGCCAAGCCTCTCTAGATGTTGCCTGGGGGTCAGAGACAGCCAAGGGCCAGTCTGCTACAGAAGCCATGATGGAACTGGAGCAGGAGGTAGGAGGGCTGGAGGACCGGGAGGACCTGGTGCGTGCTGCTCTGGAGGAGGCAGTGCAGCCACCCCCAGGAGAGGACAATCTGGAGGCAGAGAGTGCTGAGGACTTGGAGGGGTCTGGGCAGCATCAAGTGGAGGCCCCACTCCCCAACTTGCCTGGCAGCAGCAGGGACCTTGGGGAGCCTCCCAAGGGCCTAGAGGAATCAGAGCCTGAGGCCCCTGTGGGAACAGAAGAGGTGTCCCACACTGATGCCCCTCAGCCCAAACCCAAGGGGTCAGGTGATTGTCCAGGTACACAGCCAGTGCTGGGGCCTACTGAACCCCATGCACCCACCCCAATCCCGGAAGACTCCTCAGGTCCCCAGTACCAGAATGAGGGGGACCAGGAGGCCGGCTGGGGGCTCCCAAGGAGGGCTGAAGACCTTGGAAAGGTGAAGGGTGAGCAGGAGGAGTTTGATCCTGAGAAGATTCCTGAGGACCTCCAGGAGGAGGAGGAGGAGGAGGAGGGGGAGGAGGAGGAGAAGGAGGAGGAGGAGGAGAGCAGAGCGGAGAGCGAGGCGGATGAACTTGGAGAAACCCTTCCTGACTCCACTCCCCTGGGCCTGTACCTCAGGTCCCCCTCATCCCCTGGCTGGGATGTGGTGGGAGAGCAGAGGCCCTCTCCTCAGGGGGAGGCCAGAAAGGAGGGCTGGGAGACTGGTGTCCAGGGCCCAGACTCAGAGGAGGAGGAGGGAGAGGAAGAGAAAGAAGAGGAGGATGGGGAAGGGGATCGTGGCCAGGACTCTGACCTATCAGATGAATTTGAGGACTTGGAGACAGAGGCTTCTTTTCTTCCTGGGGCTCCCAGGAAGGTGGCAGAACCTCTAGGCCAGATGGCTCAACTGCTGGAGCCGGCAGTCTGGGATCGAGATGGAGAGTCTGATGGGTTTGCGGATGAAGAGAGTGGGGAGGAGGCAGAGGATGAGGAAGAGAAGGGGATAGAGCCAGGGGCTCCACGGTGGGGGCCAGGGTCCTCTGTGGGAAGCCTGCAGGCCCTGAGTAGCTCTCAGAGAGGGGACCTATTAGCACCCGACTCCCTGAGCATCAATGTCCCCTGGGACGATGGCTTACAGGGTGCTATGGCTGGTGACCCTGTGACTGCCCCAGAGGCTGAGTCCCAGGACAGTGCTGAGCCTTCTGGCTCAGAGGAGTCTGACTCTGCTGCCTGGGAGAAGAACCAAGTCCCTGGTCCTTTGGAGACCCCATCTGGGGTGGAGGACACAGGTCTAGGGGATGCCCACAGTGTCAATGGGGGCCCCAACTTGGAGGAGGAGTCAGAGCACACAAATGGGAGGGTGGTGAATGGGCTACAGCAGTCCAAGGGAGGGGGACACGGAGCCCCGGAGCCTCCAGATGGGGACCGAGAGATCTCACAGATAGAGGAGGGGGTTGCTCTGAAGACCCCTTGGGCAGGGGCCCCTCTGCACCTGGGCCCAAGCCAGTTCCTGAAGTTCACTCCGAGGGAGGGAGATGGAGACTCCTGGTCCTCCGGGGAAGACTAGAGTAAGCTCCTAGACAACATGATCTGGGAGAGGTTGTCCCCAAGACTACCCTGTCTGTGGGGTTGGCACGCTTAACATGATCTCTTGGTCCACGGTTTCATCTGAGAAGGAGAGGCTTGGCCCACTAAAGTGGAGTGGCATGTGGCAAAGGAGCTATTCCAAGATTGGAGACTCTGGGAACAAAACCTTGAGCTCTGCCTGGGGACAACCTGCTTTCATCAGCCCAGAGGCTAATGTGATGGAACCCCTGTAGTGCTAGGCCCTCTTTTCTCTGCACCCCATCCCTGGGAAAGGTGTGGGCAGTGTTCTCTCTGGGGGGGAGGTCTGCCTTTGGGGAAGTCTGGCCTGTGGCTAATGTAGATGAGGGCTGCACCTGTGTCCTGACCCCCTTGTCTCGGCCATGTGTGGCTCCATCTGGTTCATCCACGCTTGAATAAAGTCATGCCTTTGCCTACAGAAGTCTGGACTCTTCCTCCTGCACTCAGATTCAAGACCCTCTTCAGGCTGGAATGGTGTGGGAGGGGCTGCCCCTGGGACACCAAAAAGGGACAAAGGCAGACGGGGGAGGAGGGGGGCAGTCCAGGTGACCACGGTGCCTGCGGAAGGGCCAGAAACTAGGTCCTTCATCATCTGCCTACAGCACTGATTACAGGGGCTAGGCTTTGGGCCACCCACCCCACCCTCCCATGCCCTTCCCAGTGTCGCCAGCATAATAAGCTCCCTTGTCCCCAGACCCAAACAGTTGTCTGACTTGTGATGACTGGCTGGATCAGTGTAGGGTGCAGGTCAGAGAGGGGTCTGCTGTGTGGCCTCTGGTCAGCATTTATTTATTTACTTACTGTATTTGGTACAGAGTCTCACTATGCAGCTCAGACTCATAGTGATCCACTTGTTTTCAGCCTTCCCAGCACCCGGATTACAGGCATGCACCACCATGCCAGGTCTCCATGGCCGGATCAGTGTGTCTGGGGCAGGGGCAGGGGCAGGGCCAGTGCAGCACACGGTGCCAGGGATCAAGTCCCGGACCCTGCGCTTGCCTAAGCAGGCCCTTAGTCGGCTGAGCTACCGCTCCAGCCCTCCGTTTGCCATTTAATCACTGGGAGAGAGGGTGGGCCAGGTGAGTTGGGTCCTTCTAGGATAATAACAGCAGGAGAGGCAAGGGGAATCTTTGGCCCCTTGAGACTGTACTGGTGAACCTGTGGCATTCCTGTTGATTTTAAGACAAAAGTTGTTAAAGTATGTATCCATATTCAGGTTTAACTGCAGTGTTGGCACCTTGCAATAAGTGGGTTTGGGGTTGCAGCTTGGGCCCTGGTCTCTAAAAGTTTCACCATCATTATGTCTAGGACTGCCGTAGATCTGCAGTAAGACCTTCCTTATGGCTGAAATAGGCCAGGAAAGAGAAGAACAAGGGAGGTGATAGGTGAGAGCTTGCAGTGAGGAGATCCCTGTGTTTGAGCCTCCCTCTCCCCTTTTCTCCCACCCTCACTTTCCAGGAGGTCTGGGGTCCCTCTGAAGCGCAAGGGCCTAGGTGACCCTGCGGGAGGTAGGGCCTGAAGGTCTTGAATTGAGGATAAGCAAATGGAAACCACTCCTCTGTAGCTGTGCAGGGAGAAGGAGCTGGGGACACCTAAACAAACAGTGGTGGGAAGGGCCACCAAGCTGTGCTCTACACTGGGGACTGATGGTGGCTACCTGAGGGGGGAAGGTGGGGAATAAGGACAAAGACAGTATCTTTTTGGCATAAGGGGGGGGGTGGGAAGGAATTTGTCTCTAGAGAACTGACTCTGATCTCTCGGTGTTGCCCACTTTTATTAGTCAGGAGAAGCAGAAGTTAAAAGTCCTTCCCCTCAGTGCCTACATTTTGTACAGATACTATCTCGTCTCAGGAGGCCTTGCACGTGAGCTCTTGCAAGGCCAGAGAGCAAACAGCGATTCAAAAACTCCTGTCCAGGAGCTGGTGAGATGGCTCAGTGGTCTAAAGCACCTACTAAGAACAAGCTTAGCAAAGCACAGGGACCACGGTTCAATCCCCCAGCACCACATGCCAGCCAGCCCCGTCCCCTGGTGGGCTGGCCACACACACACACACACACACACAAATAAACAAAACAAAACAAAAAAAAACCCTCCTGTCCAGTGCTCGGACCACAGACCCACAGTCAGGTACTGTGGTCCCTAACATAGGAAAAGATTACTTTATGTCCCCTGTTCCCCAGCAGCCAGGAGGAGGATGTTTCTCTCTGTGGGCGGAGGTGGGTTAAACTGAGGATGAACTCAGGCCCCTCTGGCTCCACACTTGTTTCCAGAGCACCTACGCCCGTCTCACACCCACCCTCCCCTTGGGGTCCAGAGTCTATCTGTCCGGCCCGACCCTTCCGGCAGCCCAAGCCTCTGCCTTCTCGTATTCACTGCTAACAAGGCCCTTTCTGATCCTGCTAGGCTTCGAGGCTTCTGGGCCAGTAAGGCCCATTCCTGGCTCCTTTAATGGGATGGAAGCACCCAGGCCTTGGGCACCGGCTTGGGCCAAGGCCGAGGACGGAGGCTGAGCCAAGTGGTCATTCTCTGTGCTGCTGACCTTCCTGCTTCCACACAGAGCCACGCCCGCTACAGTGCTACCCCAACAGGCCTTGTAGTCAGTAGTCAGTAATCCTAAACAGGGAGGGATGTGAATTAGACAGACAGGAGGACTTTTTTTTTTTTTTTTAAATTTATTTATTTATTTATTTTTGTGTATGTGTGTGTGTGGCCAGCTCAGCCCACCAGGGGGCGGGGCTGGCTGGCATGTGGTGCTGGGGGACCAAACAGCGGTCCCTGTGCTTTGCTAAGCTTGCTCTAAGTAGGTACTTTAGACCACTGAGCCATCTCACCAGCCCGACAGGAGGACTTTAAAAAAAAATTTTAAAACCCTATTATGGTACTGGGGATTGATCCCAGAGCCTTTGTGCTGAGGTACATCCCAAGACCTTTTTATTTTTTAAATACTGAGACAGGATCTCATTATGTTGTCCAGGCTTGAGCTCAAACATGCGATGCTCCTGTCTCAGTTTCCCAGAGTGCTAGAGTTACAGACCTATGTCACAAGCCCAGGCTCAGGATGTTCTTAAAGTGGACGCAGAGTAGATGTGGTGTCCTTGAAAGTGACAAACCTCCCATGCAGAAAGAGGAATGAAGGTTGTCCAAGGACAGGGACATTCCTGGTTGTGATAAGAGGAGTGACTGCAATTTTCCAACAGTTTTTTTTTTT